TACTAAGGTCAGGCCTTAATCCCACCCTGATTCTGCCCACGAAGGCACCCTGGTGGCACAGTGGTTGTGTGTTGGGCTGCTACCAGCTGCTCTGTAGGAGAAAGATGAGGCAGGCTTCCTCCTCCCATAAACTCACAGGGGCAGTTCTACCCTGCCTTGGAGGGCTCTTGCCAGTTGGCATCACTCTGTGGCAGTGAGGTTTTTTGGGTCGGAATGCCCGCCTAGTGGGACTAGACGCAGGCAGATCCTGCCTGACAGGGCAGTCCCATCCCGTCCTCTGGGGGGCACTGTGAGCCTGCATTGACTTGATCCGGAGTTACAGTCTATTACACGCTGGTCTTTATTCTCCTCTCTGCTTGCTCCACTCTCTTTTCCCTCCAAGTGCCCTGGTTCGAGACCTCCGTTCTTGAGGCATGAGCGCGTCTCCCCTGATCATTGCAGGTTTCATTGCTCTGGAAACGTTTTCTGCTTCTTGTTTTCATCTCTTTTTTTTAAAAAATCCTGTTATTAGAATTCCGCCTTTGATTTCCACTGGGGGTTTTTAGATTGGTTTGTTCGGCTTTGATTATCTTTTTCTATTTCAATCCTGCCATCAGAAAGCAGCCTTTGTAGAATTACAGTCCTCTTGAATTGAATGGACCCTTGGTTGCTGTGGCCGTGGCCTGGCGTGATGGACACTCCACGTAGGTGGTCTTGCTCCTATCATGGGTCTGCCTGTAGGTGTCCCTCTGCGACTCCTGAGCTTCACAGACCGCTGGTGCTGTCTCCAGCGGAACCTGGGACCTCCGAGCTTGCCGACGTCAGTGCCTGGAAGCTCTGCGGCTGGGCGCATGCGCGGCTGGGATCGCTGCCAATCTCGCTGATGTCAGGAGTCCGGAGGCGCATGCACGTGGTGGATAGCTGCATGAGTGCTTCTCCATCCTTCGCCCCCTGAGGCGTGCCTGCTTACGTCCAGGGAGACCGCACAGCTCGGCCCGTCCCAAACACACGTTGACTCTCAGGCTTCCTTCGGAGAGAGTCCATCGATGAGGGGCGTCTTTTTCCATTGTTTTACCTGCTACCTCCCTCTCCGGGGAAAGTTGGGGTTTTGTACTCCCGTAAACAGTTCCACCCTGTCCTGCAGGGTCTCCTCGTGAATCACAGCTCATGCTCCTGAGAACGCTGCCATGCCCTGTAACCCCCTCCATAAGTCAGGGGGGCAAGGTGGCAGCAGGACTTTCTTTTAATCTTCTGTGACGTGTGCCCGCCTTTGTAAAAGGCCCTGGTGGTGTGGCAGGTTAAATGGCGTGCTGACAGCTGTAGGGTGGGGAGGTCAGTCACCAACTGCCCTGTGGGAGGAGGCAGCAGCCACTGCTTCTACACAGATAGATGACCGCCATGGGCAGCTCTGCCTGTGGGGCGGCCGAGCGCTGGGCTCTGGGCTTGGTTTGTCTTTGAAGAGCAGTGAACGACAGGTAGATAAGGGAGTACACTAATCCCCACCGAGAGGGGCCTGCTCTCGGCAGTGCCGCGGCTCTTTGTGGAGTCCTGCTCTCTGTGCTTGTGAAGGAGCCGCGGGGCTGCTGCTCCGAGCCAAAAAGGGGGGCCAGCTGCATCCCCCAAGATCATAGTGCTGGGGCCGTGCGGCCCTCTGCCTGCAGTGTTGCTGCGAGTGGACTTGACTTCCCTTTACCTGCGTTCTGAGCGTGTACCCGGGCTGCAGCCTGCTCTTCGTGCTTTGTCTCTTACTGCCCCTCTCACTGGCCGCCTCGCTGCTGTTTCACAAGCGCTCAGCACGCTGACCACCCCTCCTCTGCGGTCACTGTAGGAGGATGGACTCAGCAGCCCCTCTGCTGGGTGCTCCTGGTCCCTGTTAGTCGTCACGGAGCAGACCAGCATAACATTCTCAGAGCCGTCACACGCTCCTGCATCACCCCACACTTCCAGCCTGGCCGAGCCCATCCTGGTAGCCACAGGTCAGCCTGCCTCACAAGGGCCTCCTGAGCCGCCCCTTCACCACATGCCACGTCCGCTCCGACAGTCGACGCCCTGGTGATGGTCTGTCCTGCAGCAGCCCTGCATGCAGGGAGTGTCCCGTCGTCAGCCGAGGGCCTTCATTGATTTTCAGAAGTGGATCACCAGGCCTTTCCTCTTCGTCTGACTTCATCGGGAAGCTCTGCTGAGACCCGTCTGCCACTGGTGACCTTGTTGGTGGCACACAGGCCACCCCCACAGGACCCCCTGACGGAGAGGGGGAACACGTGGTGCATACCTCCGATGTGAGCACGTGCTTCCCAGGGTCGGCCGGTGCTCCAGTCTGTCCTGAGCATGACCCACCCTGCCCTCCAGCCCACTGTAGAAGGGGCGTGGCCTCCTCTTGTCCTACCTGCTGGCTGCCTGATCAGGCTCCCTGCCCAGGGCCTGTGGGGATCCTGGCCAGGCCTCCCACCAGGAGAGTCTCACTTCCACTTCCCCCGCGTTCTGAGCACCGCGGTCCCTCACCCCCACCCCTGCCCCCTCTGCCTGGCGCCGACTGCGGCTCGTGGTGGTGTTTCTGTGGCACGTCTCGGTCTTTGTTCCCACTCCGTCTTTGATTGTTTCCCTGGAAGCCGGTGCCTTGATGTTCTCGACACTCCCTGCCGCTCCGAGGCGGAGGGACCCTGTGGAGGGCTGGTCTCAAACTGCGAAAGGAAGCCTTGCGTTGGTCCTCCTGGCCAGCTCCCCGTCTCTGACCATGGGGAGTGGCCCAGAGTCATCCTCTCCATGCCACCTCTGGGGACCATGTCTCTGACCATGGGGAGTGGCTCAACTCCCTGGGGCTCTCTGTGTGGCAGCAGTCTGTGCCCTCTTCTGCCCTGCTCTCAGCTTAGCCTCTCCCGAGTCAAGTCTGTGACATCTGGTCACCGGACCCCATTCGCAGTGATCTGGAGGACAGAGGAGAGCTGTCCCTGCAGGTGGGCTTCTGAGACCGTGCACCTTTCTCCCATAGACCCCGAGAGAGGAGAGGGCACAGTGGATTTGGCAGCAAGGTTTTATGAGCGTGTTTGTGAGGGAGGTGCGGCTGAATCATGTCCCCCGTTTGAGATGGGCCCCCAGCCCTCGAGTTGCACCTATGGCTGTGGTGTCTGACGGGGGTGGGGGACGGGGGGCTTCTCTGGTCACTCCTCAACCAGCCATGCTTGAGAGGAAAAGGGCTGCTTGGGCCTCCTTCCCTCTCACTCTGCACCCCAGAGTCCAGCCTCCGAGTGCACCCCCACCCCACCCCTCTGTTCTCATCGCGGAGACCCAGCGAGTCAGCACCGTGGAGCGTGCCCCAAGCCACTGTTTGTGTCCCTTGGAGATTGGGGAGTCATGTTCTTGAGCCCCGCTGGCCCCCGCCCTCGTCCTGGGCCCCAGTGGGTGCCCTCGCCTCTGCAGTAGCTGGTCTACTGCAGAATAGCCTCTGGCCCAGTTCCCCTGCTGTCCATCGGCTCCCTGAGCTGC